AAAGCTGTTTTTTTTCTGTCTTCAATTCGCTGTCTAGAAGTTTTTGATTAATGGGATTCGAGAGTAACTCGAAATAGTTGATGTTAATACACATTGCTGGTTCATCACCTTTTCTTTTCAGAATTTTATTTTTATTTTATTTTATTTATTAGGTTTACCAGTAATTGTAACAATAATACATCAATGAGTATTTAACAATAACATGTACAGCCAAATGCACAATTAATTAAGGTAAACACCACATGCACAAAATATTAAGGGTAGTAACATCCAATATTTATAAGTGACTTAATTTGTTCACAGTAAATGAGAAAAAGAAAGAGAAAACAGGAAACAATAAGAGCACAGTATATAAATGAACATAATTACTTATTTATAACTCGACTATGGTTTTTTGCAAGTGTTTGCGAAACGTATTCAGACTTGTAGCATGGATATCTATGTTTTTACCATAATAGTTTAGAAGTCTGCTTGCTCTAGGGACAAATGAACTTGGGCCCAAAACTGTTGTGCGCAATGGTGGAACTAATGGTGACATTTTAGTCCTAGGTAATTTGTGTGGTACATTGAATCTAAATTTTCTCAGTAAGCCTGGACAATCTATTTTGTTTTTAAATAATTTGTACAAAAAGACGAGATCAAGCATTATACGACGGTTTTCCAAGGTAGTGTACTTAAAATGTTTCAATCTGTTTTTGTAGGAAAACCCTTTATTATATTTATTGGCTGAGTAGGCTAGGTGCCAAAGATATCTCTTCTGAATCCTTTCGAACCTTAAAGAGTGACATGCATAGTGTGGTCGCCATACTACATTGCAGTATTCCAGAATACTCAGGACAAAAGAGTTGTACAGGAGCCTTTTTGTTTGCAACCTCCGAAACTGTTTGCCCATTCAAATAATAAATCCAAGCATGTTTGAAGCTCTTTTTATAATAGTCTCTAAGTGGGCAGCAAATGTTAACTTTCTGTCAAGTATCACACCAAGATTTCTTATATGGTCAGCTTCCTGTAATTTTATACCATTAATAAAATAAGCAGAGTCTAAAGTTTTCTGTTTTCGGGTAAATTTGACATAAACACATTTGCCCACATTTAGTTGCATGCCATTCCGTTCACACCAACGACTTAGACTATTTATATCCTCTTGTAATAATATGGAATTCTGTTTCGTTTTTATTACTCGTAGTAACTTCAAGTCATCGGCGTACAAGTACGGAGTAGAATACAAAATGCAATCAACAACGTCATTAACAAAAATGTTAAACAAAATAGGACCCAGGTTTGAACATTTTTTTAAGCCTTTATTGCTGATTCTAAACATTTTGTTTTACATAGTATATGATTGTTTTAACTTAATTATAATCTAGCATAACGGTTTTCCAAGTTTAGTGATCAGCGTGTCCTGTGACACATAGGCCCCTTCCAGCTCTTTCCACTCTTGTCTGTTGTTGGCTTTTCTAGTCCATATCGTCCCTCCAATAATCTTGATATCGTCTGTCCATCTTTTTGCTTGTCCACCTCTTTTTCTTTTGCCATCACGTGGTTGCCATTCTGTTATGATTTGCGTCCATTCTATCCTGCTTTCTCTTACCATATGGCCTGTCCATCGCCATTTTAACTGTCTAATTTTCTTAATTATGTCTTCCACCTTTGTTGTAGATCTAATATCTTCTGCTCTTTTGCGGTCTTTTAGCGTCACGCCCAACATACTTCTTTCAATTCCCCTTTGACATGTTCTCAGTTTTAGAAGATGTTTCTGATTCAACGCCCAGGTTTGGCATCCATATGTAGGACATAGCAAGATACAGGAGTTAAACACTTTTCCTTGGCTGTTATAGGAAAGTATTTACTTTTGAATATTTCTTTAAGGGACCAGTATCTTTTCCAAGCACAAGCTACTCTTCTGTCTATTTCCATGTCTGTATGATCTCTAAATGATATTAATTGCCCTAAGTATGTGTATTTTGTAACATATTCAATATCTTCATAATCTACTTTTATGTCAATTTCTTCCCTGTTTGTCATTACTTTTGTTTTCGATTTATTCATACTAAGACCAACTACTCGGCTTGCATTCGTTAACTGTGGTAGCATATGTTGAAGTGTATTAGCGTTGTCACTTATGAGGACTATATCATCCGCGAATCTTAAATGATTGAGTTGCCTGCCGTTGATATTGATGCCAAAATTGTCCCACCTTAAATATGCTATCCAATATTGCAGAGAAAAGTTTTGGGGATAGTGGATCTCCTTGCCTCACCCCTCTAGCAATTGGGAACTCTTCGCCAGCTGTTTCCAGTTTTATTTGCGCTATGCTATTCGCGTATATATTTTTAATTATGCGTATATATTTTTTGGCACTCCTTGCTGGGTTAGTGCCCTCCAAAGTGAATCATGTTTAATGGAATCAAATGCCTTACTATAGTCCACAAATGCGATGTACAATGCTTTAACGTATTCTTGGCATTTTTCTATTAGCTGTTTAATGACATGCATATGGTCTCTTGTTGAAAACCCCGCTCTGAAACCAGCTTGTTCTATAGGTTGCTCTTCGTCCATTATCCCTGTTATTCTGTTTAAAATCAGTTTAGAGAAAACTTTGTAAATATTCGACATGAGGCTTATAGGCCTGTAGTTTTGAATTACGTTTCTATCTCCTTTTTTTGTGTAATAGTATGATTGTGCTCTTCGTCCATTGAGATGGTATACATTCCGTGCTTAAAATTAAGTTATATATTTCTGTGAGTTTTCTTAGCTTTTCCGGTGACATAACTGAGGTTTTGATCATTTCATTTGTAATCTGAGTATGAACATACCTGTATTTAAATAGATATAAGTTTTTATTATGTGTGTTCGGTATTTGTGAGGAGAAATAAAAATAATTATTATTATTTTTGGGGTATCTATATAATTTTCTTATCTGGTTGGGTTCTATAAATATATAATTTTAAGTTAAAATGAAAAGATAAATATACATAAATATCAATAAAATAAAATAAATACAAATAATACATAAATAAATAAGATACAACCAGACGGAAGCCCTCGGCAGGGGAAACCAAACGGCCGAGGGTTAGGGGAAAGGGAAAGAAACCGGTGGACGATGCGGGCGGTATCGAGTAGCACCGCCTTCTGCATTTGAGCTCGGAGCGGTCCGTCACGGAGTTCCAGTCCCCTCAGATGACCCGAGAGGCTGACTGGGATTAGCCCATTCGCAGAGACGACTACAGGAATAATTTCGGCCGGCAGACCACCCCACATGTCGGTTACCTCGTGAGCCAGGTCCAGATATTTTGTTCGTTTATCTGTTTCGGCTTTCACGAGGTTCTCGTCATACGGAATGGTAATGTCGACCAAAAATATCCTTGACTGTGCCCGGTCCATCAGCACAATATCAGGCTTATTCGCAACAATAGTCCTGTCTGTGATGATAGCCCGGTCTCAGTAGAGCCTGGCGCGGTCATTTTCGAGCACGGCTTCCGGCAAGTACATGTAATACGGCAGTTTCCGGTCCACGAGATCGTATTTCAGAGCGAGCTCCTGGTGTAGAATTCCAGGTTCCAGGTTGTGCCTGTGCAAGTACTCAGAGTTAGAAAGCGCCGAACAACTGGAGATGACATGCCTAAGCGACTCACCGGGATGGCGACAAGCTCGACAGACGTCGACGGTGCCATCCTTTAGGATGTATCTCCGATAGTTATTGGTCCTAATAACCTGATCCTGTATTGCACAGACAAAACCCTCGGTTTCCCCGAAAAGTTCACCGAAACGTAGCCAGTTGAGGGAGGCGACTGTATCTACGAAGGGCTCATGTAGAGCGTTACCTGTACCTCCCGTGGAGCTCCTTCTCCTTCCATACGGTCTCCCGGTCGGAAATGCTTTGTAGTGCCGGGTCCTGCCATTGCTCGTTGGCTAAGGATAGAGGGGTAAGCCCTTTATCACTAGAAATGACGTGATTATAGAATGGATCATCTGATCTCGCCAGGAAGTAATCACGGAGGCTGCACACTTCGCGATTATGCATGGTGAATGCATGTGACGCGCTCAGGAAGCCACGCCTACCATGCTTTCGCGGCAAGTACAGCCTCATTACCGACGATCTCGGATTATGCATCCTATGGGACATCATGGTAGTGCGGACTTTTCTATCCAGGGCGTTAAGTTCAGTCTGAGTCCACCTGAGAATGCCAAAGGTATACATGAGGACAGGCATGACCCAGCCGTTATATGCGTGTGCCTTATTCACACCGGACAAAAGGCTGTTAAGCACTTTGGTCAAGCGTGCATAAAACACGTCGCAAACTGACTGTTTCATACCAGAGAGACTCGCTCACTGAGATGGTTCAAAGAGAGGCAGAACTGTTAGACTCAGACAGTCGCCCTGGAGTATACCCCTTCTTATCCTTATGCCGCTTTCCGTAGCCGTCATCCGCTTGCCTAGATGACATAGGATCGTACTCTACTGCCTGATACACTGCCCCAGCAAGTCTCGAACTTTACAGTCAATCTTGTACAGCTCGAGGACCCTCTTTAGCCATGTATGGGGCTCCGAGTCAAATGCCTTTCTGTAGTCTATCCAGGCGGCGGAGAAGTTCCGACGGTTGCGTTTCACCACTTTGCCAATGACCGCGTCAATGAGGAGTGGTTCCTTGGTTCCACGACCGCCGCCCCGACATCCATTTTGAGCGCGCAACATCACCTGATATGATTCCAGGTAACGAGTGATTCTCGCGCTCAAAATGGATGTTAATGTCTTGTATATGGTCGGTAAACACGTGATGGGGCGGTATTTGCTCGGGTCTGTGGTACCCTGGTCTTTAGGAACTAAATGAGTGATCCCAGTAGTGAAGAGGCTTGGGAGCGACTTCTGGTTGAGAGCCTCTTGAAACTATCGGGCGAGCCCGGCGTAACACACCATGAACCCCTTCAGCCAGTAGTGACGCAGCCCGTCAAGCCCCGGACTTTTCCAGTTCGGGGCCCTACAAACCGCCTCAGCTACGTCATCCGGCGTTATGATGACGGGGTCCACGGACGTTATACCCGCACACTGACTCGCCACAACTTCCGTCCAAGGGCTCTGACCACAGGCTGCGCCAGAATGCGACCGTGTCGGCCTGATTCGGTGCTGGGCCCGTTCCACTTACCATTGGTCGCTCCAATGATTTATAAAGCCTCTTCTGATCACTCTGGAAGAGACGATTCTGGTTGAACCGTGTCAACCTCTCGGTATATCGCCGAATCCGCTTTCCCCATGCAGCGAATCTCTGCTTAAGGTCGTCTATGCGCTCCGTCAGTTTTAGCATTATATCCGGCTGGGACAAACTAACATTTGTCCCAGCAAACGCCATCGTGACGGTGCGTACAACCCTTGGCCTGATATTGCCTGGCCTGAAGCATATCAGTCAGCCGATGAGGGCCCTAGCCTTTGCGATACGTTCTTCAATTCTTATTCTCCAGGTATGGATAGCACTACTTTGTCCAGTAGCGCGTCCAGCCGTGGAGAGTTTGGGGCCTATAATACTGCAGACTGCCAGTGCGGCGCCAAAAAGAATTGAGTCCGTCTCTCAAAGGTCCCGGCTAGCTTCCAAATAGGTCACCAGCATTGGGTTCAGAGCCCTCACGACAGCCAGATTCCGCTTGCTTAGGGCTATGCGGGGAAGTCGCGGTCGATTTTCCAGAGACGTACTGCGCGTTTCCACAATCGCCTCTTCCAATGTACTCCTCATTTGCTCTAGTTCCAGTTCCTGGGCGATTGTTCCATCATCGTTTGAATCGATATGATCGATAATCGAAATGGACTTACAAAACATCATCATGTTGATGTTTTATAAGTCTTCTCCTTCGATCAACAATACCAACTGGATGTCGGGTCGGCGCAAGAAATCTATCTCAGTAAATAAGAGCGCACATGAGACGTGAGCTTTTGCACGTGAGAGTGTAGCTCGCAAGGCAATAACGGGAAAAAGAACTTTATTTGTTATAACTTAAGGTTGATTTCACACTAAATGTTATTTAATTTATGTCTTTTTATAGTTTATATTCATGCGGACAGTATTTAGCTATGATTTTATACGTGACCTGTTATCTAGTTGGTATTGTTGATCGAAGGTCCTCTCTTAAAAATAACACAGCAGACAGGTGCAGTACGGGCCCTTTGTTCATTAAAGTATTCATCTACTAGCAAGTATAAATCCCGTACATTATTAAAATATAATAGTTTCCATCACCAAAACCAAACCATAAATAGGATCTAATCTTGTATTATTTACTAGTATTCATTTATTAACTAACAAACATATATACACACTAGCTTGCCAGGCAGACGTTGTTCTGTCCTTTTCGACGACCCTTGTCTTGCCCGTTTATGATATTATTAGAAATCAGAAGTATGTTGTCAATTAAAAGAGATAAAAAGGGTGCCAGAGCATTAAATTCAACTTTGCTCGGCGTTTATTTATAAATTACACATATAACAAAATATATAACAGATAATAAAGCACACAGTAAAATAGAAATAGTTCAAATAAGCAACAAAAATTACAATTTTTAATGATCATTATTCATCATCATTACAACAGTCCACTGCCGAACATATACCTCCTAAATTAAATATATAATGTAAAATATTACAGAGGCCTTCCGTGAATTGCCATCCCGTTCCGTCCCGTATGGTGTCGTAAAAGTCGACAGAGTAAAATAAAAATACCAGGAGATGAGCAGCAGCATCTTCCTATAGAATAACACAAAAAACTTTGGTTGCCACAAGTGTAGCAACTATGGCAAAAATCATCATTTATATTACAATAAGATAATAAGAATAAAATAATAATAATAATAATAAAATAACAAGAAACGCATTAAGATTAATAATCATCATTCATCATTTTATTATTACCACCATTACTTGAAAGTAATATATCATCTAAAAAAAGATGCAGGTGGTTCAACCTCATCTCGATGCCGTGCCCAAGATAGAAACCAGACAACAGACATGATATGTGCACAGCAGCCAACAGTGGGTCTGCATACCAAACAGTTGCAACAGTACCCAGTAAGAGCAGCCCTAGTGTTAGCAATTGATTGGTTGGTGTCAACTAGTATATAAGTTTTTTTAGAAGAGAGGGCAATCGAGCATACGGCTCAACTGATGTTAAGTGACTACCGCCGCCCATGATCAACCGCAACTCCAGGGGAATTGCAGGTGGGTTGCCGGCCCTTTAGAAAGGAGTAAGCTTTTTTCTTGAAGGTCTCCAGATCGTATCGGTCCGGAAAAATCGCCGGTGGTAAACTATTCCACAGAGAGCACGTACGCGGAAGAAAACTCCTTGTGAAACGTACAGTGGTAGACCGCCAAGCATCTAGATAGTGTTGATGGTATCGGGACGTTTGCCGCGTAGTGCGTTCATGAAATTTGGTGGTTGGGATTAATTCCAACAATTCCTCAGAGCACTCCCCATTGTATACGCGAAAGAAAATGCAAAGAGATGCAACATCTCTTCGCAGCGCCAGTGAATCGAGACGATCAGAAAGCACTCGGTAGCCGACGATTCGAGCCGCTCTGCGCTGGATGCAGTCAAGTGGAAGGAGCTGGTACCGGGGAGCCCCAGCCCGGAGATGAGAACAGTATTCCATGTGCGGCCGAACCTGCGCCTTGTAAAGTTGCAGGCGGTGTGCCGGCATGAAATACTGTCCCGCTCTGATGAGCACGCCAAGCTTTTTAGAGGCTAATTTGGCCTTCTATTGCAAGTGACCACGAAACTGCACGTCACTCGATATGTCAACGCCGAGGATTCCGATACTGGCTGAGGCAAAAAGGGGAGTGCCTTGAAACTGATAAGTAACGACAAAGGGGTTCTTTTTAGCGGTTAACGCGCTAACTTGTGTCTTCTGAGGGGTAAACTGGACTAGATTTAGTCGCCCCCTACCCGAGACTCTGTTCAGCAAAGACTCGACTTCAGACACAAGTTTGTCCCGGTACTCAGAAACGTTTTCCCGAGAAATATTGGCACGGCCGGCGTACAGAGCATCACCAGCGCTGTTATCTGCATAGCAATGAATGTTACGGGTTTGTAACATATCATTGATATGCAGAAGAAACAGCGTTGGTGATAGCAAGCAGCCCTGTGGAACACCAGCGTTAATAGGCTTGTAATCGGAGCTTGCACCGTCTACAACGACCTTGATGCTCTGATCTGCAAGAAAGCTGGTGATCCAATTGCACAATTTCTCGAGAAGCCCATAGTAAGGGAGCTTCAAAAGAAGCGCTTTGTGCCAAACCCGATCGAAGGCCTTCACAAAGTCCAAATTAACGGCCAATGCATACCCCTTGGACTCTATTGCCTCCACCCATCTATGAGTTAGGTAGACCAGAAGATCGCCAGCTAATCGACCACAACGAAAACTGTATTGGCGATCACTATTCTACTGGTGATCCTAAAGATAACTCATGAGCTGGCAGTTTACAATGGACTCCATTGTCTTGGAGAACAAGGAGGTGATGGCGATAGGCCTGTAGTTGGACAGGTCTGAGCGGTAGCCTTTTTTAGAGATCGGGTGGACGAAAGCCGTCTTCCATGATTTTGGAACTACGCCTAGGGAGTAGGAGTTTTTTTACTAGTGTGCCTTGATTGTATCCTACCTCGCAAGAGATAACTGTTTGGACCAAAATCATGGACAGATTGCAGGTATACCTCGATTTTATATTCTCCAGAGGCCCTGACATGGTCCCGGTAATATCTACAAGCTTGTTTAATTTGATAAATTCCTACACTAGACAAAACTATATCCTGGAATGTCAGTTGAGGAAAATTATCCAGCTCTGGAAGATTAACCGTTTCTCTATTGAACGAACTGTCCACCTGGTGATTACTGAAGTTAAACATTAAGCTTTTAACCAATGTTCAGTAATACACCGTACTTAGCTCTGATATAATAATACGCTTGACCCTACATATGCCATCTCTGCAATTTCCTGCTAATTTCAAATGCAAAGCGCTTCAAATTTCACGTGTTTAGTTCAGGATGGTATTGTTATATAACGATATCTCTCGAAGGAATCAACTGGTTTCGATGAGGTTTGCATAGCGTATTTTGAGTAGAAGAGCTTTATCTTGCCTTGGAATTTTTCAGAATGTACTATGCCGATTCGGTCTAAAATGATAGGGAATATAAGTTCAGCGAGGCCATTTCAGAACCGCTTTTCGATCGTACACTCCGTTACAAATTTATGAGATGTTTACATTTTTACCCATGTACACACACGCACATGCAAATACACGCGAAATGAATTAAAAAAACTGAAATTAGCATGTTTTTTAATTTTAATAGCCTCACGAACCATCCTAGGTACTAACCGGTATTCTTATGCGAGAATTTGTGGTAATATCTATGCAGGGTCGATCTTGAACATATTTACAGACTGCAGACTACCCGGAACGTCGTTGCTTCACGTTTGCTATATTTTCTTTTACGAGGACTCATGTAAATGTTTTTGTTGGTCCTCTGACGTACCTCGTACGAGAGACCAAATTCACTATCAAGGCAACAGCCGAAGAAGATTAGAAAATTTTTACCATCCGCCAAGTGCAATATCCCTCTACAAGATGCATGATCTACAAGAAGCTTGACCTGGTTTCAGCTGTCCAAAAGCTCTCTCGGACCGTGTCGGATTGCGATTTGATGATTGTGAGGGAAAGGAGAGTGCACTTGTGTTTGCTCATATATTCGGACACTATATTTCTGTACTGTGCAGATAGGCTAGTCTCCGTGGAGACTGGCCGCTGTGACAAAAATTTGGTTGGGAGGACACTCAACCCAACAATCAACCCAACAATCGACCCAACAATCGACCCAACAATCGACCAAACAATCGATCCAACAATCGACCCAACAATCGACCCAACACTCGACCCAACAATCGACCCAACAATCGACCCAACAATCGATCCAACACTCGACCCAACAATCGACTCAACAATCGACCCATAAATCGACCCAACAATCGACCCAACAATCGACCCAACAATCGACCCAAAAATCGACCAACAATACCTTAAACACCGTGACCCCCCCCCCCCCCAACAAGCTTTCGGCTGACCTGAACTGCCCCCCTGGCGGCTCAAGCCGAGCCTACATAACACATCCCTTAATCTGCCTTAGTTAGGCACTCGTGTAAGCGACTTTTCACCGCTTGCGCCCGCCTTTCTGCCAAGGAGGGTCGCGTTCGTATACGGCTTAGAGATCTCTAGTTAGACCGTTAAGCCAGTCCCTACAAGGTGGGGTTTAGTGGGTAAAAGTCTCCACATAACCACGCAGCCGGCTGCGTGGTAAGCTATGAGCATTCCCCACC